AATTTAGAAAAACTTCTTTCAATGTCTATCATTGTCCTTCTAGACTCCTCCGAGGCTCCACTCACCACTCATTTCCCAATGATTTTTCATAACGGGGCTGGGATCCCTCGGACTGGTGTCTGCTATTGTTAGTGCGTTTGCAAGACTGAGAGCGAGTTGAAAAGGGACTTTTTCCGTCTTTCCGAGGGAAAAACAAGCATCTTATCTTTACCAAATTCGTTGTCCTTCCTAAACTAAATAATCGAACTGTCCATAATAAAAAAGAAAGAGGTAAAACGGTGATTTGCCCAAAATGAACATTTTAATTTCACGAAGTGTTGCTGGGCGTTGTCCTCCAATGCTCCACTACTACTTATCCGCTTAAGAAAATACACTGAAACTGAACTCTTCGTAACCCGGAAGAAGAAATGGCAGCCATGGCTAAAAGCTCGGATTTTGGAGCTTTCATGGAGAAATTTACTCTTCATCCAACCTCTTCATCCGATCAAATGCCCTTAAATGGCCTCACTTTTGCTATTAAAGACATGTGAGTTTCTTTTTCCCATCAAGCTCGGAATTCGGAGCTTTCATGGAGAATTATCTGTTTTCTTCTTTGTTACTATTGATTCTCTCCAAATTTTTAACTTGTAAAAGATTTGATGTGAATGGATACGTGACTGGGTTTGGAAACCCTGATTGGGCAAGGACCCATCAGGCCGCCACTTCAACGGCCCCCGCTGTGTTGGCTGTCTTAGGTGGAGGTGCCACCTGCGTTGGCAAAACTGTATTGCCTGAGATGGCATACAGGTCACCATTTCTTTATCATTGTCTGAATGTCTGCTATATGATTGTAGGTGTTATACCTTGTTGAAAAAAGGGAACATTTTTGTTTTCAGTCTGAGAGGAGAAAATAAACATTATGGGACACCCAGGAATCCATGTGCACCAGATAGGGTACCTGGGGGATCTTCAAGTGGATCTGCTGTTGCAGTAGCAGCAAAGCTTGTAGATTTCTCCCTAGGTGAGCCTTTCCTTCTTGGAAGGGATCTTGGGTTTCTTGGTTTGTCTTTAAATTTGTTAAAGTGAATTGTTTGTTTCTTCATAGGAACTGATACTGGAGGAAGTGTCAGAGCCCCTGCATCTTATTGTGGAATTCTCGGGTTTCGACCTTCACATAATGTTGTCTCTACTGCTGGAGTTACTCCTTTGGCACAGAGTTTAGATACAGTAGGTAAGGATTAATTTCTGTCAGTGATCTTGCATATTTTTTCTGATATTAATCATATTATTAGGGTTGGGGCCCTCAAATTTTCAAAGCAGTCATCTCTGAGGCCTCAGCTTGTCATTTAACTATGAGACTATGACTTCTCTGATAATATCTGATACTTTTAAATCATAGATTCTGAAGGACAATCCATCTCATAGAGTTCTTTAATTT